GACTTTAGCTCAGGTTTGTTTTGGCAGCAGAGAGCAGATGCAGATGCTCATCCTTCAGCAGGCTCTCAGTTTCCACCACCCCATGTTGTGGTGACCTCTCAGGGCAGAGAGAGCCGAGTCCTGCTGAGGTGTAACTGCAGAGAGAAGATCTGGCACGGCAGTGAAAGAGTGCAGTCTAAATAAAGAGTGCCTGATGTGGTTTTTGAATGCTTGCACTTGGCACTGCCAAAGCTCAGAATCTCTCTGTGTTTCATGTTTCTGCCTCCAGGAAGGGGCATGGCTGGTCCCTGGCAGCCTGGGTGATGGGCAGTGAGGAGCACTGGCAGCAGGGCTCCTCCTGAGAGTGATGGCCTCCTGTTGTGGTAAGAGTGCCAAAGCAATCCTCCTCATCTGCAGCTCTGTCTGAGCTGGAAACAGCCAGAATGTTCTTTGTTTAAGGAGAATAATTTCTGCCTGCAACCATCTGAAGGAGCCTTCTGGATAGTTCTTTCTACTATCGTTCTACTAATTTTTTTTGTAGATTAAGCAAATCATATTTAAAAAAAAATGTAATATCCTTCATGAATGAATAAAGAATGAGGCAAAATTACCTTCCAAATTCATTATGGTTTTGTATTTGTACTCACAACATGTGCAGAAGCCGTAGCAGTAGGAGTGGAAGTGCTACACTCCTGATAACAAAATGTTCTTATGAAAATCTGCCATCAGTGTGGTAGATGTGCCCAAAAAGTACCTTCACTTCACTTGGTGTAGGACATGTTTAAAAATAGGTATGGTGGAGATACTGAAATGCTCCAGAAAATAAGATTTCAGAAACTGCCTGATGAGAAGCAGTTTTCAGGAGGTCTTGGCCAGCAGGAACTGGAAGGAATTTGGTGAGCTGCTTTAGAGGTGAGAAAATGCAATATGCACTCTTTCCCATACCTAGCATGACATTTTGTCATCTCTTGTTTCTTGGTGTTTGTTGCCTTTTTTTTGCCTTTTCACAATAATATGGAATAGTTGGTATAAAAATACCATGACAACTTCAGACTTTGTTTAAAAATTATGTTACTAACCCTTATGAGTCAGAAGGCAAGCAAAATATCCTGAAATATATATATATCACTTCTGAGATCTTATCCGGTGTCATGATTATTTTTGTTTTCTTTAGACAATGTTGAGAGCAATTTTCACATCCTAGAAAAATAGGAAATGAGGGAAGTGGAATAAAAAATAAATAAATTAAGAATAGTCTGTGTCTTTTTATCTCTCCAGTCAAGTAACACATCCAGCAGTGCTGGTTGTAAAATTAGAAGAATGGTTGCATGGAAGAACCATCCAGAAGGCTGTCTGGTCCTTGTCCTGCTCCTTCAGATAGTTGCACCCAGAAAGTATTTTCCCTAAACAAAGAAAGTTGTGGCTGTTTCCAGCTCAGAGTTGCAGATGACGAGCCCAGCCTGTCCTCTGTGAGCTGCATGCTCAGCCCAAGTGGCCAAACTTGCTGGGTCCTGGGTTGGGAACCCAAACCAGCTGCTGCAACCTGGGTGTGAAGTGGGTCCAGCCTTTCCCATCAGCCCTGCTCCACCTCTGACTTAGTGGAAGTGGGTCCCAAACTTTTTTTTTTGAGAAGAAAATGTCAAATCTTGTATTTATCTGCAGCACACAATCTACACAGACTATAAAAATAATGGCTCTTACATCCTGTTGAAAGTATCCATCAGTTCTGTAAGAAGGGATTTACTGTATGTAGAGACCATATTTGGTCTCACTTGGATAAAACCAAGTAATTTCCTGTATAGTTAGCAAAGAAAAGTATCACTCATGCCTTTTTATTGCATGCACGTTTCTTTAAAGATCTGTTGTACATCAGAAATTCTGAATGGATCAGTAATTTGTCTAAGCAGCTCTTTCCCTTACAAAGTATTAACAACAAAGAAATTCCGTGCCTTTATTTTTGGCCACAGTCAAGATAAATCAGTTTGTGACCAGTTGTTCAGTGAAGGATTATGGCAGGCAGCATTGCTAAAAAAAAACAATTGGTATTGGTATATTGTATTCTCAACAGCAGATACAGGCAGTTTTCACTGAGAACAGAATAATAATCAAAAAGTTCTCCCATCCTCTCACAACTCTAGGTAGACATTGCTCAGGCCAACAGGATGACAGCCTGTGCCACTGCTTTAAAAAGTTCTCTTATAAACAAATGCTGAAGCTTTGCATCCTGCCTAGGAATTATAAATAAATATATCTTTTTTTCAGTACTAAATATTGTAAAGAATTGAGAATCCTGTTTGGCAACAGCAACAAAAAGCTTCATCAAAAGGAACTGTGCTTTGCAAACTGTTTAAATCCAAATTAAATATGAGGTGGGTTGTATCAATAATGGTGATAATGTAACTCATCGTGGATAGTTTTTTATGTATGTATTTAGCAGAAATCTCTAAATGAAGCTTCTGGTGCAGCTAATTGCCAGCTAATTGGCTCCCAGGAGTTAAACACTCCCAACTGAGGACATTAGTGACCAGTGACTGCCACTGCCTGTTTGTGAACTCAGGGCATCACACAGCTACAAAACCAGTCAAGAGGTAAAATGCACAGCTCATAATTTTGGTGCAAACTGGAAATTTCATGGCAGCACAGAGAGTCCCAACGACTCTTGTTTATCCACAGTAAATAAACTTGCTGCTCTCCTGCCCTGGCTGAGCTCAAGCTCAAGAGATTAGAAGTGTCCCCTCCTCCCCTATTAAAATACAAAGACTAAATGAAATTCTGAATCAAGGAAATAGGTCCAAAAAATTACTAGGCTGTAGGGGCTCAACAGAATTAAAACTATCAAACACTTCAAGTGCATTTTCTTAACCTCTAATCAAATGTGAATTTAGGCTATGTGGCAGTTAAGGTATTTAATGCAATTTCCTGGAGTTTTTTGCTTTTAAATAGCATTCAGAATACTCTTAATGAAAAACAGATGAAGAATAACAGGATCTATAAAGCCTGGCATTAAAATAACAGCCATTTAACTTCATATGCAAGTGAAAAAATGGAACTTCTGTATCAGCAGAAAATGAATTATGGCTGCTCAGCTAATATGCTTGCAGGAAAAAACCCTCAAAAATGGCTGTAAAAATAACAATGATAATTTAATGTCTACGGGGATTAGTATTTAACAAAATTAAACAAACTTAAAACCTGACTTCAAATATTTATGTTAAAATTCCTAGCAAGCAAGAACATGACCAGCCATTATAAACTGCTATTCCAGCATTCCAACTGGATTTTACTGTGTTAAGAATTTATAATCTGATTATACTACACACAACTTCAGCGATTTCAAAAATAAGGCTGCTTCAAGTACTAACAAAAGTGTTTTCCTTAACTTCTGATAGATGTATAAAGAAGATTATTTGCCTTCTGAGCACTAATAGGCAGGTGTAGTCCATGAGGACTTGAAGAACCAAAGTTTTCTAACAATGAAGGCACGGATAGAAAACTGAGTTAAGGAAAGTAAATATTTCAGGTATAATTTCACTAGCAATACCTGATGCAGCCTTACAACAGTCTGTTCCACTGATAAGGGTTAGATTTTGCTATTGCATGAGGTACTGTGGAGATCTGTAAATACTTTAAATTTCTATAGATTACAAATCAGTACCTGTGCCCTGTGCCCTGCCCAGCTGCAAAAGGACAGGGAAAAAGCAGACTTGCCCATGCAGTGGGAAATGGGCTGGAAATATTTGTTATCTGGCAAACCTGAAGAGCTGTGGCAAGGATGGAATATCAATCTTATCCTGAATTTTAGTTAATGTAACTGTAGATGCCAAATTTTTGGTTTGTTGCTCTCCCCAGTACTCAAGCAGTCTGCAGGATGATGGCACATATCCTTTCCCACAGAGAGAAAAACCTCTGCCTTCTTGTCTTTATTTTAAGACAATATAAGACTTATTAAACTGATAAAACTAGCAAGGGGATACAACCTGTACATGCCAGCTGCACTGTTGTGATTTTGGGAATGTGTCAGGCAACTGTTTGCAATTAGATGAAAAAATCATGATCTAGAGAAGAGCAATCAAGGCAGATTTGTGCTAACCTCAGTCTTCACAGGACCTCCAGTGTACCTGGGGCCATTTGAATAGTTCTTTACAAGTAGTAAACTGCACATTTGGATCTGGCTTAAGGTATATAAACTGCTTAATGATGATGGTTTGTTTGGATTCCCTTCCCACCAGTAGTGGAAGGCACTTAAAGGACAGCAGTACTCTAATCCTGCAAGACACATTTATGGGACTGCAGGGCTTTGCTGTTCAGCTGAAGCCAGCTGCTGGCCACAGGAGCCTGACCATGCTCAGGCTATTCATAATCCAACCTCTGCCAAAGCACCCAACAGCTTAAACCCCCCAAAACATGGTGGTTTAAAATTTCTACCTTTTTGTAAAATTAGTCATAATTTGTCAATTACTTTTCTTCTACAGGAGCAGGTTAACCAAGAGAAACGTCATCAAGAAAGCTTTTAAGCCTCTGTTTTGGTAACATGGTGTTCATAAAATAATCTGTTGCTTCTACAGCATTCAAAGGAGGTTCCTTTGGCATGTGTTGACTACTTGTAGGAAGGTCACATCTGTACCATAAAGACCTCACTAAAGGAGATATGATGTGGTGATATTCTCATTACAGTACTTGAGTCAAATGTAAATGTTCCAATAAGCAAAGCCAGCACTGGAACCTCTGATCCAGTTCTCTGGCCTGCAGGCATCATGCTCTCCTGAGTATGTATGTGGGCATACACTAGGTGTGACAGATGAATTTACAAATCCTTTTGTCCAAAATTGCAGGGCCCAAGTGAGAAGTGAGTGCTGGTTGTCCCTGTCAGTCAGTGCCAGTCCTGAGCTGCTGGAGACCAAACATTTCGGTGATGTGTGCAGAGGACAGGTCTGCACCAAGGCAGATAAATGGCCAGGAGGTGCTAGGGATCAGGCCTCTTAGGAGCATGTGAAATAATAAAGATGACAGATGTCTGCTAGTACATTGTTTTATCCAGTTTTATTTGAGTAACATTGTTACAGTGTGTTTATTTCAAAGAAGAAGTTAAAGTCTGTATGATAGGATTTTGTTTTTGTTCTAAACTGAAACTCCTTTTATTTTGCTAGTCCTTTCACAGGCTGCAAGCTCTGTCTCCTCTTTTCAGGCACACAGTCCACTGCTTTATTTTCCTGCTCCTCTGTTCTGACTCTTGTACTTGGTCTGACTTCTCTACTTCCTTAACTTCTGACTTGTTCTCCTCTTCTCTTGCCAGCGTTGGGATATGTGGGCTGCATTTCATTACCATGAAGAGGAAACCTCAGCCTCCCTTGCCCTTCTCTGTGTGCTGCAACGATAAGGCAGAAATATCAGGAAAAGCCTTTTCCCAGGGACTAGGTGACATTTTCAGTGGGATATTCTCAACATGAGCTCCACGTGCTGCTGCACTCTGAGCAGCCTGTGCAGCAGCACAGCTGTGTCCAGGAGGGGATTACACCCTGCTGCTTTTGCTGAGCTCCATACTGCACCTTCCTCTTCTGCCTTACTCCTTGGCACCAGGGGCCTTGAGCAGGGTGTGTGACAGGGCAGTGCTGCCCAGTAAGGGTGAGGGAAGCCCACAGACAGCTGCAGAGCAGTCTTTTTTGGTGGATCCCACTGCATCCCCACTGGCACTGGTACATGGGTCTCTGGGGAAGAGACTCACTTGCCCCCTGACTGTGGGACCTCAGCACATAAAGCAGTTACTGTGACCCTTGAAGCAAAGGAGAGAAGGCTTTGACCATCCTAATAATTTTCAAAGAGAAACTGAACGCCCAACCTACCTTGATGATGTGAGAGGGATGTGGAGGAAACCCCTGTGATGTTCCTAAAATGCCTGGACTGCCCTAGTAAGAGAGTGCAGCACTGCACACTGACTGCTCTCTATAAGTAGTGCAGCTTTATGTTGTTTTGGCCCTTGTTATCTGCCCAACATCTTGTTTCTGTGCTCTTTGTTATCTGCCCAACATCTTGTTTCTGTGCTCTCTAGATCTCAGTATCTTGACTTGGAATTTTACCTGCAAAAGGCAGAAATGTGTTGTTAAATCCCCTGAAGCAGAAATGGGCAGTGTGTAAAGCTCTGCCCTGCAAGCATGCTGGAGGACATGGGGGTCCTCTCTAGGACACTGTGTGACTGATTGCTAACTGACAAATTCTGGTTTTAAGGAAAGCACTGATAGTGGAGATGGGTCCTTTCTGTAGGGGCTTAGAGGGCAGATGCCAGCCCATTCAGCTGATTTAATGTTTGTCCCTCTGCTGAGAAATCCCACAAGTGATAGCCACATCTCTGGGAGTGCTCCACACCTGAAATGATTTCAGTATTTACCAAGAAGAAAAGCAGCTACAAAATGTTGCTGTAAAGCTCACCAACTCAGCTATAAAAACAGCCAAAGAGTTCAGCTGTGTTGGGGAGTGCTGTGGCTCAGACAAGGACAATATAACAGATACAGCTTTCTAGCACCACACTCTTCAGCCCTACTCATGCCAATGGCAATGACCCCTGCACAATCTTTGAAGCATAATTTGTTTTATGGAAAATGATGGATTTTTTGGCTTTTTTCTCTCTCCCTAACTCTATTCTTTTTGCTCATTGTGACTGATCGTGGTGAACAGATTATTCAGTCTGGAAAATTCATCAGCAGCTGCTGCCCAGTAGGAAAGCCTCTTGCTGTCCATCCCTGAAAGCTGTCATTCCTCATGGATGTGTCATTACCCAAATCACAAAGATGAAATAAAACCTCAGTATGCAATTTTGAGAGTTACACAGCACACAGAAGGATTTTTTTTGTTAGACAAGTCTAGGCTCTAGCAGAAGAAACCAGCCTGGAAGCTGGCACATCTCTCTGACCCCACACTGCTCCACACTCCCTGCTTACCTCACACAGCAGCATCTCTGCAGCTTTTTGCTGTGAAAAATGTTCCTCCTTGCGAACTGAGAATTTTGTTTGCATGTATTGGTGTCCTTGCAACCCTCAGCTATGGCTACCAAAACCCCACGTGTGCTCTGCACCAGCCAAGGGACAGTGTGGGGACTTACAGAGCAGCGTTACAGGAATGGGCAGGTCTGGAGAAAAGACACAGCTTGAACTTGATTGCTCAGCTGCAAATAAAGCAAAACCTAATTCCCACTCTTGCCTCTGATTTTCTCTCAAATTACTGGGTTTTATGCCTTCTGCTCTGATCCCACAAAGATGTGCCCTGCAAAAGTGTCCTCAGATTCAGGGTAGTTGGTGGATTTTTGACTGTGCTTACACATCTTCTGCAAACTTGGGACTCATTAAGAGCATCTCTAAATTAGGCATCACTTAATCCTTGATTTCTGAAGGGGTATAATGGGAACTTCAGTATGCTAAACTTTTAAGGTAAAACTTATTCTTCAATATTACCCTGAAAAGCTAAAATGTTCAAAGTGCCTTCCTGAATTGAAATTCCTGGCAATACATATTTAAAACAAAGCTATATGAAAATGGTAGTAACAAATCATCCAAATACATCAACTGTTGTGTTATAATTCACGTTATTGAGAAGCAAGATCGATTTAGAATCTCCTATAAGGTCTACTGCCATTGCTTAGGATCTTACACAGCCTTATTTTGGATGCAGATGTAAACATGAACTTAGCAAAGCTTGGGGTTATTGCAGGTTTCACACCTCCTTGAACAGAAATCATTCAATCTCTCAAGTTTACATTTTTCTAGCTATAAATCTGTGACAGCATATTCTGTGTAGTTAGTTTTACCTCTTAGCATGGTAATCTCATCATTTACATCTCTCATTTATACCTCTCAGTGGCTTTATCTCTGTTTTATCAAAGAATACAGAGATAGGCTATGGTCAATGAACTGAGATGGTATTTAAAAGAAAAAAAAAAGGTATTTATGCTTACTGGAGTGTGTACAACTATTGCACAATGATATCTGACTTCAAACTTGCACTTAACTCAAAGTGCACTTTGGTAAACAGCTCAGCCTGAGTTTAAATGAGATTTACAAACACTTATCAGCTCAGTATACACTTTGACAGACACCACTTATGATGCTGTGTGCAGTCCTCATGTATTTAGAACTAGTGCTGACTTGTATCTTGACCTTATTTTTAACTATATAATTTATTTTAAAGAACATGTTTAGACAATTTTACTGAAGAGAACTAGAAACTCCTGGATTTCCAAAAGAAATGGCAGCTTTTCTTGCAGTTCCTAAACATCTATGATCTGTGAATTTAAGGACCTGCTGTAATATGTTCAAGAGTTAGCAATATTGCTATATGATATTCTTATGCATGTATGAATCTAGTATTTACACATATAACAACTATCTTTTGAAATGAATCTTCAGAATTATGAGACTTCATGTTGCTCACTGATGTCTTTATATACCAGGTTTATCTGAGCAGTTGACCAGCTATGTAAAATAATTAATCAAAAAGATGTCTCACCTGCTGCCAAATAGAAACACTTGTTTATAGAAAAAAGTACAGAGAAACATGAAATTAAATCAGCTAATCCTGTAAAACAGACATTAACACAGACTTGAACACCCCTGCCATCACAGTGTATAGGACCCTGGTTATAATCCACACTTTCTGTTCTAGTTTTTCAAGAGATTGGAGATCTGTCTTGTTTTCTTCTTCCCTAGTTTCTTAAAGTAACAGACTTAGGTTTGAAGCACACTCTTTACAAATATCACTTTACAGAAATCTCCTCCTTGGTTTGGGGTTTTTCAGTTCTAGTGCTTCTGAGCTGCTAAATCTCAGCCAAGAATTCCTCAGACTGTTTTGGAAGGCTTCACAGGGAAACAAAGGGGTTTCTCCAGATGAAATACTCACAGACCTGTCTTCAGGGAGGTTCTGTGGGTTGATGGCTGAAAGTGAATTTGCTCCTTTTGGCTTTTGTGTGCCCCTTTCCCCGTCTGAAATATAGAGGATGATCCCTACCTGCTGCAAAGGGCAGCCAGGATGCTGCTCCTGTCCCCTGTTTGGGCAATGACAAATGTGTTCATTTTAGATTTGTGGTAAAATGAGCAAGTGGGACTGGCCCCTGTAACTTCAATAACTTCAATTAATGAGAACAGATTACACATGCTGTGCAAGCTGAACACAGCAGGTTCATTCTCAACTGTGACTGCCAACCTTGCTCAGGTATGGGGGCAATAAAGGATTTGTGTGCTTTGCACCTAGCTGCTTTAATTTCATTTAAAGCCTGATCCTATGAGGCAATGAAGTCCTCCACTCTTGTTGCCTTCAGCAGGATTTGAGGGACTTGGGACCAGTTAAAAAAAGGGTCTTTAATTTTCTGTCAGGAGCACAAGCATGTGAAGGAGAGCTACTCCTTCTGCATGCACTTGTAATATGTACAGGATTGGGCACCTTTTGTAATAGTCTGCTTAAATCTTACTGTGTTGCTAGGGAACTGGCCCTGTCCACAACCAAAAAACATGGAGACATTGTGTCCCACTGGTTTCTGGCAGAGTTTACCATAAGAAATGGCTTAATTGCAACAAGATCTACTAGCAGGAGTACAAAAAATGTGATTTGTCAGCTTTTTCATCAGCTTTTTTTTTTAATTACAAATATTTTAATTCTATCACACACATGGAAATCCCTTTCAAGCTGAAGGCTAGGCATGTGAGGACACCACCAGAATCAAACACTTCTTTCCTTTATTCTTTAAAATACTGATTCAGCTATTTTTAAATTTACTTGAGTCAAAGTACAGTGTTTGGAAGCTTAACAAGCTTGGATACTCTCTGCACTTTTGTACTAACTAAGGCTATTACTATTTTCAAGACTCTTATAAAAAGACTTGTTTGTTTATGTTTTCAAAATGTATGGCTTTTCAAGTTTTCAGACTGCATTTAAAAGTATCAGAAAAAAGAAACCTGTATTTATGGACCTAGAATGACACTTCTGATACAACTTCTTATCCCCTTCAGGACATCAGAATTGTCTGTGTTGTTTTAAATTAGTGATAAAACAAGACTTGAAACCCTAGATACCAAAGAATAAGTCTGCTATCAAAACAGGACAAAATCTGGGCAGAGAATAAAATAAGCCATGGGGAAATTGAAATGAAATATAGTCTGAGGTGACCTCTCTTAAAACAAACAAGTAAATCCTGTCCTATTAAGCTCTTAGGAGATCTGCTAAAGAATTTTGAAATAATCCAGACAAGGAACTCAACCCCACATTTTCATTCTTGTCAGTCCTTTCCTTGCAACTCCCTAAGAAAAAATGATCCCTTGTGTGTTTTGTACAAAAGGATGAATTTTTACGATATAAAAGCACACACTTTAAAGCTGTAAGTCCTCATTCCTTGGCAGACATTATCTTCAGGTTTATGGCGAAATACATATTGATCCTTTCCAAGGCACAGGTGGGCAGGGAGGAAAGAAACACTCTTGTGGAATCATCAGCCTTCTTTGTGGTGCCTGACCAGGAGCAATCTCACAGCACAGTTGTATGAAAAACCATAATATGGCACCTGTTAATAGTTTTTCTCCTTCTCTCAGGATGGTTGCACAATTTAACAGCAAAAAGATGGAAAACACTGAGGACCTTGGAGACTAGCCAAGTAAGGATGTTTTTTCTTGTCAGACCTGTGGCTTATAATGTCATGCATGTGTCCACAAGTGCAATGGCCTTTTCACAGAGCTCCCTGTGTTACAGAGAAGGTTTCAATATTCAGACCTCAACTTTTGTCCTCCACTGTCTGGAAGCATCTCTGTAAGAGAGCAGCTTTTTATACCAACTGCTCATTCCTGCACGATTTTCTAACCCAGGGTTCATGTCCAGTAATTAATGTGCCTGTGTGTTGACCAGTGCTACATGGCAATTAGAAATTTTGTGATGGGCAGCCTTGTGACATTTCATTGTCACAGATCACATTACTATTGTGGATTTTAGCTCTCTGACCCAGTGTATTCAATGAGATTCTTCCTTCACTTGATTTCTCCTGGTATTTGTGGATGTAAATAAGGCCCTTATATTGTACAAACGTATTTTTTTGTAGTATACTATA